TGCTGGATTTCGAGATTTGTTTCTGAGTTTCTGGGATCATGGCCATTAAGCAGTTTGATCAGGAACCAGAGAGGCCATGCCTCCAATTATATAGCTGAGCCAGAGGTGGTTTGTGGGTGTGTCTCTCACATACCTAACTTTTGGCCGTTTACTTTCTTGGTAAACTTTGCCCCAAGTTTTTTGGGTCTGGCCAAAGGCACGGCAGTAATTTTGGGGTATCTGAAAGTCTGACGGTGCCATCAGGCTGCTGATGAACTCGCCTCACAGGTACAGATTGACCTGCTAGCGGCACCATGCCCCCTCGAATCAATATTTTTTCATTTCATTTCATTTCATCATCCTGTTAATCGTCGATTGCCTCGAGCAGGCCCCAGTAATGTCTCTTTCATCCTAGCCCTGAGATTATATTCACGGCTCTTTAGGAGAATGAGACCCATCATTGTTACTGGTATTTGGCATATTTGGTAGGCCACGGGGAGTTTGCCAGACTCTGCCTTGTGGGCAGGCTACATTCGATAGCCTGCAAGTTTGTCCAAAGTAGGAATGAGATAATAAGATGTCATAAAGAAAAGTTCTGATAAGAACTTTCCGGGATCTGGATTTTATAGTCTCTGAGTCTTGGCCGCTGATGGGATTACACGGCGCCAGGGGGCCAGGTGGTGGGTGTGACCCCCGCCTACTGGAATTTGGAGGATCTGGGTGGAAGATGCTCGACTCCAATTCGAGTAGGCTTGGAGGTCTCGGCCCCGGACCCCGCGTGGCTTTGTCCCTCTGCCAGTACCTTCAGGTGTGCGGAGAGTGGTCTCAGCATGGTGGTGGCTGGTCCTGGAGGTCTCCGGCTGCCGTAGCCCTGGTCGGGGCGGGGAGGAAAGCTCAACCCGCTCCCCTCCAAGGGACTCCGGGAAGGAACACCCAGGCGCGGGGGCAGAGACTGCACTGTTCTCGTCCGGGATCTGGATTTTATAGTCTCTGAGTCTTGGCCGCTGATGGGATTACACGGCGCCAGGGGGCCAGGTAGTGGATGTGACCCCCGCCTACTGGAATTTGGAGGATCTGGGTGGAAGATGCTCGACTCCAATTCGAGTAGGCTTGGAGGTCTCAGCCCCGGAACCCGCGTGGCTTTGTCCCTCTGCCAGTACCTTCAGGTGTGCGGAGAGTGGTCTCAGCATGGTAGTGGCTGGTCCTGGAGGTCTCCGGCTGCCGTAGCCCTGGTCGGGGTGGGGAGGAAAGCTCAACCCGCTCCCCTCCAAGGGACTCCGGGAAGGAACACCCAGGCGCGGGGGCAGAGACTGCACTGTTCTCGTCCGGGATCTGGATTTTATAGTCTCTGAGTCTTGGCCGCTGATGGGATTACACGGCGCCAGGGGGCCAGGTGGTGGGTGTGACCCCCACCTACTGGAATTTGGAGGATCTGGGTGGAAGATGCTCGACTCCAATTCGAGTAGGCTTGGAGGTCTCGGCCCCGGAACCCGCGTGGCTTTGTCCCTCTGCCAGTACCTTCAGGTGTGCGGAGAGTGGTCTCAGCATGGTGGTGGCTGGTCCTGGAGGTCTCCGGCTGCCGTAGCCCTGGTCGGGGCGGGGAGGAAAGCTCAACCCGCTCCCCTCCAAGGGACTCCGGGAAGGAACACCCAGGCGCGGGGGCAGAGATATTGAATAAGCGATTATATCAGTAATCAGTATTTGGTTAAGATTGCTAGTATATTTATGCTATGTTATGTGGGTATGAGATAACAATTTTAAGGATGCTCTTAAAAATGAGAAAAAGAAAGATTTTACCAAGTATTTTACTGTAAATATACATTTCTGGACTATACTTAGAATAAAGGATCTTAACCTTTTTAAAAAATTATTTATTAAATTATTTATTTATTTATTTTGCTTTTTGGGTCACACCTGGTGATGCATGCGGGGCTGGCTCATGCAGTCCGAAATTTCTCCTGGTGATGTTTGGGGCACCATATGGGAAGCAGGGAATTGAAGCTGGGTCCACTGTGTTCAATGTAAATGCCCTACCCGCTGTGCTATTTCTCCAGCCCTAATTTTTTTTTTTTCCTTTTTGTATCACACCTGGCGATGCACAGGGCTTACTCCTAGCTTATGCACTCAGGAATTACTACTGGCGGTGCTTGGGGGAGCATATGAGATGCTGGGAATCGAACCTGGGTCAACCACATGCCAGGCAAATGCCCTACCCGCTGTACTATCGCTCCAGCCCCCAGCCCTAATTTTTTTTTTTTTTATCTTTTTAAATTTTTTCAGTTTTTGGACTATACCTGGCAGTACTCATGGATCACTCCTGGCAGTGCTTGGGAACCATATGTGGCACCTGGAATTGAACAAGCGTTGACCGTATGCAAGACAAGTGCCTTGGTGACAGAACATTTTTAAGTGGGGCATACTAAATTCATCTCTGTAGAGCCCTGTCTGCATCTGCTGTCTTAGCTGCCAGAATTTCAGACATTTAAAACAACTGTTAGGACTCTTAATGGACTTTTTTTTTTATTGGATTCCAATACTGGTGGAAAACCTGGATTGTATCACTTTTATCTTTGATTTCTCACTATTTGGCACAGTATTTGGCTTATAATAGGCACTTAATAAATATTTATAAACAACAATAAGTCTCACAATTTGTTGTGAGATATTACTGGTGCCTGCTCGAGCAAATCAATGTACAACAGGAGGACAGTGCTACAGTGCATTGTTACCTTTTAAAATTGACCAGTAATAGTTTCCTATGCTTATGTTTTTAGGCAAAATTTTGCTCAGATATTAAATTTCCAATTTTCATAGGTAAACTTATGTGGTACTTAGGGAGTTGGGAAGAATTGTGGGAGGATGAGGAAAAATAGTGAGCAAGTCAAACTAAACAATGGCAGACACTCTGAGAAAAGATGGCAGTCTTTGTTATTATTATTAATGGATAGTGATTTAATTGGGAATTTTCCCTCGGGATTTTTTCTTTTTCTTGTTGTATTAGAAAAATAGTTTAGCCTCAATATTATGATGAACTAGGTATATAAATGTCAATGCAAGTATTTTGGTCTTCTACAAATTGGTGCCTGTGGTATCTGGACATTTTCGGCCTGTTCTTGTAAATAAGGACTTGGTAATGTTTAAGGAACAGAAATTGTGGCCAGAAAAGAAAAAAAAGCTTCATATTATCCAGGGTAAGCAATGTAAATGGCTCTCAGGAATGTCCCACTAGATAAAAAATCTTCTAGAGAAAGGTCTCTTGAGTCTACAAACTGAATACCTTCAATATAATTTTATATAAAGCCTTTTCTGTAGTATGAGAGCATTTTTAGTTGATAATCAGTCACCGCTATTATGGAGACTAACAGCGATAGCACAGCAGATAGGCATTTGCTTTGCATGCGGCCGACCTGGTCGGCCCAGGTTCGATTCCTCCGCCCCTCTCGGAGAGCCCTGCAAGCTACCGAGAGTATCTTGCTCACACGGCAGAGGCTGGCAAGCCACCCGTGATGTATTTGATATGCCAAACACAGTAACAACAAGTCTCACAATGGAGATGTTACTGGGCCCGCTCAAGCAAATTGATGAACAACGGGAGGACAGTGCTACAGTGCTACAGAAATTTACAAGCATGGGTCCCTTCTGCAGGAAATCAGTTTAAGGTTTGTCTTTTTCCCCTTCCCTCTATTGACTCAAAGAGCCTATTTGTCCTTAAATCCTATGAATATATATAATTTGACAGCATTGAGTCAACACCCTTATAGGTCTGTAGTGCTGTTAAAAAGAGAAACTGTTCAATAAAAGATCACATTTGAAAAAAGTTGACTGCTCCATGAAACCAGGATTGGGAATGAGGACTGTGGACTTTAAAGCACCCCACAACTGGTCAAGGAAAAATCCCCTCACTTATTACTTTCAAAGAGAAGGCATTAGGTTTGGGAAACTGAACTGTATCTTTGTGAAAGCAAACCCTGACTCTAAATCAATGAAATATACAATGAAATATTGGCATTTTTAGCAGAAAACTAATTCTGTATTTGTGTTAACAATGAATTTTATAGATTATAGGTAGAAATAGCTATTAAAATAACAGAGTTGTGATGAGAAACCCTTTTTACGAAGATGGCGCCAAAGGCAAGAAGGAAGCCCCTGCCCCTTCCAAAGTTGAAGACAAAGCCAAAGCTTTGAAGGCCAAGAAAGCAGCACTGAAAGGCATCCACAGCCAGAAAAAGAAAAGATTCGCTCATCACCCACCTTCAGAAGACCCAGAACATTGCGGCTGAGAAGGCAACCCAAATCCCCTCGGAAGAGTGCCCCCAGGAGAAACACGCTTGACCGTTATGCCATCATCAAGTTTCCTCTGACTACTGAGTCAGCCATGAAGAAAATAGAAGATAACAACACACTTGTGTTCATTGTGGATGTTAAGGCCAACAAGCACCAGATTCAACAGGCTGTGAAGAAGCTTGGTGACATTGATTTAGCCAAGGTCAACACCATGATTAGGCCTGATGGAGAGAAAAAAGCGTATGTTCGGCTGGCTCCTGATGATGATGCCTTGGATGCTGCCAACAAAATTGGGATCATCTAAACAGTCCAGCTGGCTAATCCTAAATACAATTTCTTTTCCACCATAAAAAAAAAATAACAAAGTTGTTATAAATCAAATATGCTTGGGCATGCACTTCCCTCTTTCAGTTAATCGCTGTATCTAACCACGTTGTACTACTATAATCATTATTCAAAGTACAGACTTTCAGTGTTTATCTCCTGCCCCTTTATCTGCCCCTTTATCTCCTGCTGTGCCCAAGGAGCTCTCTGTACCTTGATGGAGTTGTTATCGTTCTGAGATTTAGGTACTGAGGCTGGAAGAGGCTCCATACATTGTGTTTGGTTATGTAGTTGGTGACTAAGTTGGATTATACAGTGCTTGTTGGGAAGTAAATCAAATTAGGACATGTTAAAAATGTATGTATCCCTCCCTTGAATAACCGTTTTTTTCTCTCTCTTTAATATCTTTGTAGTTGATTTGGAGCATATGCGAACAGTGAAGCCTGAAAAACACTTACGGTTTTGCCAGGAAAATGGTTTCAGTAGCCACTTTGTCTCAGCCAAGACGGGAGACTCAGTAAGTAGATGATGATTATGAAGTGTTTTAGGTGACGCTTCCCTTTGGTTCGTGGATACTAAAGGGTTGTATACTTTTGTTATTTCATTCTTGCAGCAAACCAACTCCTACGGAATGCAAAATCGTTTATACTATTTGTATTGCTTTTTATAATTCATTTAACAATTTTAAGGCTGCTGAGGGAATTTTAAAATATGAGTTAAAAAAGACTGAATCTAAGCATGGAGAGATGACCCTTTATGACTTCATGTCATTCTCCTGATGTTCCTTTACTTTTTCTGTATTCCTGGTCTTCTTATTCTGATGGTCACTACTGCTAGCAGGTTGTATTTAATCAGTGATTGCCCTTTCGTTTGTTTTTAATTTGGCTCAGTGTGACTTACAGTACTGCTCATGATTGGGTTTCATGTTTAGGTGTTCCAGAACCACATCCTGTACCCGTGTCATCTGCTTCCCGCAGGTTTTTCCCCCTTTTGTCCCCCACCACCTTGGTAAGCTCAGTTCTGTAAGCCAGTTGGCAGATTCTGTTGCTTTTGGCCACACTCCCTTACTATGTTTCTTTATAGTCCAGTAACCATCCTCATCAATTTAAGCAATGTCCAACAAGATATTGATCCTGTCTGTATGTTTCAGAATCTAATATCTTATGACCTCGTGTGTGTGTGTGTGTGTGTGTGTGTGTGTGTGTGTGTTTCAATGTATGGGTGATCAAGATCATTGCTAGGCAGATATCCTCAGTTTCCATTTCTCTCTTTTATTTTATCCGACTCACTTGGCTGGAATTCACTTCTTTGTTCCACCACAGCCCCTCTTCACTTCCTGTGGCTGCACCCTTGAATTGGAACATGGCCAGATTTCCCTGAAGATTTAGTCACTAGCCCTGAGGGGACCCGTGCTGCTGCTCAGGACCATGCCACATCATCTTGTCTACTGTTTCTTGGTTCTTCTTTCCTAGTTATTTCAGGCTCTTTATCCGACATCTTTCCTTGCCTTTCCAGTGTAGTTCTGAGTTGTTTCTCATTTCTGTTCTTCCAATTTCTCTTGAGTCATTCCAGATTTTTTTTTTTAACCCAACCTGTCACCCAGACTGTTCCCAAGATTCTCGATGACCTCCTTTTTGCCAAACCCAATGAATGGTTGTTCCTTCCTATTTGTAGCCTGTCACTTGTCTTTCTTCACTGGCTTTTCAGAGTAATTACATCCCCTGCTTTTCCTCCAATTTGTTAACCATTGTTTCAGTTCCTCGTACTGTTTCCTTGATAGCTCTCCGGCCTCTAAATACTGGAGTGCTCTAGTGCTCAATCCTTAAATATCTCTTTCTGGACTTCAGTAACTGATCCCATGACTTTGACCAGACCTCTTCCTTGAGCTCTGTTCTCACCTATGGAAATGCCTTCCCAGCATCTCCGTTTTACTGTCTGATGGGCAGCCTGTCTAGTTCAGGCCCCCGAAGGGAGCATTTGTACCTTGTGCTCAGACATATCTCAGCCTTATTCCCATAATGAAATGGCATCTGTTCTACGAGTTGTTAAGGCTGAGGACATCTGATAGCGATCCTTGATGTCACTGCCTTACCTCTCATCTCTCACAAGGCCTGTTGATTTGTCTTTCAAGATATGTCCCAGATCTGATGACTGTTTCCTTACGTCTTCACTGCTCCCACTGTTCAAGCTGCCTTCATCTCTAACATTAGTGTCTCTCTCAGTGCCCTTGTGCCCTTGAATCTTCCACAGTGGTGCTCAGTGCAACAGTCAGACTGTTAAAGTTGAGGTCATGGGGCTGGAGCGACAATGCACTGGGTAGGGAGTTTGCCTTGCACATGGCTGATCTGGGTTCTATTCCCAGCATCCCATATGGACCCCTGAGCACCACCAGGAGTAATTTCTGAGTGCAAATCCAGGAGTATCCCTTGTATCACTAGGTGTGACCCTCCCCCCCAAAAAAAAAGTTGAGATCACACTAGACTGCCCTCTCACAGGAGTATCACTGCACTCAGATTAAAAGCAAAAGTCATTCAAACAGGTGACACAAATTTTTGACTGGGTAGACTGGGTGTCTGGGGGTAGGGTTGGAAACCCTGATGGAGGGAGGGAGACACCATTTGTGGGATTGGTGCAAGAATAGATTATGTCTACTACCATCTGTGAATAACTTTGCAAATCATGACACTGTAATAAAATATCTATGTCTATACTTATATATAGAATTTATTTCATGTACCTATAGAATTTATATAGATATAGAATTTATTTCATATTTTTAGGAATAGATGTATATTTGGGTCAATTCAGTGAATTATCTGAATTTTCAAATTATGGTTTAGTCACTCAAGAAATGCTACACTTAAAATGTTGCTGTATTTGTCAAATAAAGTTAATTTTGGAACCATTCGGGACATCATATTTTTCTAATTCTTGCTGTTTATCATTCTTTAGAAAGTTCCATTTATTTGAAAGTCATCTAAGCACGTCTGTTTTAAATCATTTAAACCTATTTCTGTGTTGTAGGTCTTCCTGTGTTTTCAGAAAGTTGCTGCTGAGATCCTTGGAATCAAGTTAAACAAAGCAGAAATAGAACAGTCACAGGTGATTATATTGAACTTTGTATTTTAAAAAATAAATTATTTCTCAGATGTTCATTTCATCCCCCAATGGTTTCACGTGGGTGCCCTCACTGTACATATCCCAGGAGTTTATGGAATGAACTGTGTGTTAGAATCAGTGCTTGTTGCAGAAGACGGAGGATGCCACTTTATGATATTCTTAAAACATCACTTGCCCTTTCTTTCTGAAAATGAGAGTCGTATAATAAAAATTTCATCAATACTTAAGTAATGGATTGGAATGTGACTGCATTGCTTTCTACCTTATTTAAATTCTTCAAGGTTAATATGTGATATCATTTTATATTTCATACAAAATCTAGCTATTTTTTTAGAATTTAGTGTTAATCAATGAGTGATAACTTCATTTGCCATCTCTGTTTGCTCTGGGATGGTGTTTTTTTTTCTTCTTTTATTTTTAAAGTCTTGCTTTTTGTTTTAATACAACCTACACTGTACTGATATTGACTCATGATGTTATTATTTATAATTGTATGATTGATTTATCAAGGACTTCAGAATTTTTTCAGTAGCATATACAGTTACTTAATACTGAGAACTAAGTATAAATACCAGCAGTCAGGCACTTACAATGTCTCTGGGCAAGACTGGTAGTTCAGTGGTGTAAGGCAGTGGTATTTTCATGTGGCCAGCCAGGGTTTGATCTCTGGTACCACTTATGGTTCAAGCACCTCCAGAAGTGATCCCTGAGCACAGAGTCAGGAGTAAGCCCTGAACACAACCAAGTGTGGCTCCAGAACCAAACAAAATCTAGGTCAAACTCATCACTAACTCTGCCTGGTGATGCAGAAGGGGAACCAGGTTTACTAAAGTACCTGCAGTGATTGATGTCTGTTAATCTCAGTGCTAATGAGGTTGCCTATTCTGTCCTAGTACAGTGTAAAAATAATAAAAATAAAACCGAAAACACTAAAACAACACAACAGTTCACGTTTGATAAACAAAATTTTAAACCAGAGCCTTTGTTTTAAATTGCAACCTCTGAAGTGGTTTGGTTATTACTTTCTCACTTTTTTAGAATTTTGTGTTTTATTTTCATGGTGTGTGTATGTGTATGTGTGTCTGTGAGTGTGTTTTGTGGTGTGTAAGAGAATAATTGTTGGAAAAGTTTATGTTGATATGCTTCTTTTTTTTTCTTTTTTAAAATTTTATTGAATTACCATGAGATAGTTACAAGCTTTCATGTTTGGGTTACAATCACACAATGATCAAACAACTATCCCTCCACCAGTGCGCATTCCCCACCACCAATCTCCTCGGTATACCCCCCCCCCCCCCCCCATGACAGACAATAGTTCCCATACTCTCCCTTTACTTTTGGGCATTATGGTTTGCAATACAGATGCTGAGAGGTTATCATGTTTGGTCCATTATTTACTTTCAGCACACAGTGTTGATATGCTTCTTGGACTTGATTGAAATACTTGAACTGGAAATTTGCTACTTTTTATTATTCACAAAACATTTATTTCTGCACTTACTTTGGCCAGAAATAGTGTTAAGATATTTTCCCTCCCTCTCCGTAAGTACTGTTCCTTGATTTTAGTCTAGGAGGCTACAAAAATGAGTAATCACCCTGATTTGTTTGATCCCAAAGAACTTGGTGGATCTCTGCGTTTATATGATTCTTTTCGGCTTTTCAGTCAGTTTCTAGAAATGATAATCTTTTCTTTAAGTACCTTGATCCACAAAGTAAGTCATAGTTGAGTTTTAGACATGGAGTATTTTTTTTTCAATTTTATTGAATCACCGTGAGATAGTTACAAGCTTGGGTTACAATCACACAATGATCAGACACCCATCTCTCCACCAGTGCACATTCCCCACCGCCAATATCCCCAGTTTACCCCCCCTTTCCCACCCTCCCCCGCCTCCATGGCAGACATGATTCCCCATAATCTCTCTCTACTTTTGGGCATTATGGTTTGCAATACAGACCCTGAGAGGTTGTCATGTTTGGTCCTTTATCTACTTTCAGCACACATCTCCCATCCCGACTGGTTCTTCAAGCCATCTTTTTCTTAGCGATCCCTTCTCTATTCCAACTGCCTTCTCCCCTTTGCTCATGAGGAAGGCTTCCAGCTAGGGAGCAATCTACCTGCCCCGTGTATCTACTGTCCTTAGGTGTCAGCCTCATGTTTTGTTGTTTTATACTCCACAAATGAGTGCAGTCCTTCTATTAGACATACACTATTGCACTGAGCACCCACTCCCCCCATCAGTGTTCCCACGTTCCCTTCCATGTCCCCTCCTGTATCCCCTCCACTCTTCCAGCCTGCCCCCTTTTTAAGTTTGGTTGCTAAAGTTTGGGTCTCTTGATTTCAGTGTTGTTGACTCTCCCGTCTAGATATTTGGCTCTGTTGTTCCTTAGCTCCACCTTTGCACCTGAGTCCCTCGACCTGCCCTCCTCCCCAATGCTTCTCCTCTGTCTCTTCGCCCCCTCCACTCCTCTCAAGAATGGATATTCTTTTCTGTCTAATTAGAAATTCCATGAATGATTATCAGTCATAAATTTATTCATCACATACTATATGCTTAACATCTGCAATAGACTCATCATTATCTATCTAAATCTTCTTTGAAAGAGTTAAAGGAATTTAAAAATCAAGACGTGCCAGGCACCCTGGCATTTCATTTGTACTGTAGCACCTCTTTTGAGCAGGCGACTCATTATTTCAGGGGTGAAAACTGAGAGTGGACTGGGTTAGGTTACCCACCCGCTGACCATCAGTCAGACTATGGGGGCACCAGGATTTGAAAACAGTCCTTTCACAATGTTGGAGGACGTTTCCGTGGGCAGTGGGGAGAGGGGTTAAGAAATGACCAGAATAGGTCGAAGGGAAAAGCTGTGTAGCTCAGGTTGTGCTTTGGAAACAGAAGAGTTGGGTAGAAGTCAGTAGCCGTTTGTAGTGGTAGGAAGGGAGTTTGTGAACAGATAATAAAGCTTTGTGACTGCCAGGTGGGTTGATTTTATCTAGCGTATGGAGAGTAGGAAATAAGTTTTTAAGCAGGAGCATAGAGGAGAGCAGTGTGGGGAGAGGATTCATCTCTTGGAGTTATCGGTGTCTATCCGGATGAGAAAGGGATGGAAGCAAGGAGGCAGATGGAAGGCGGGGAGAAGGAGTCACCAGCAGGCTGAAGTGCCGGAGTGAAGGGAAGCAGCACTTCAGAGGCCTCAGTGGACCCGCTAGATATGAGGAAAAAGGGAAAATCCACTGCCACTTAGATTTCTCGTCCAGAGGACTGCAAGAAGGGCCAGTGAGGTGAGGTGCATCTTCGGCCGGTTTCCCCGGTTCAGGGAGAACTCCTGAAAGATGCAGTGACTCCCCTCCTTCAGAAAGGCAGAGGGTTTTGTATATATGGCTCTGCCACTCACCCATGTCAAATAGACGGGTGGGGATGGGGCAGGGGTTGGGGTGGGGAGGGAACACTGGTGGAGGAAAATTGTCACTGGTGGCGGGACTGGTGTTGAAATATATGCCTAAAACTCAACCATCAATAACTTTGTAAATCATAGACCTTTAATTTAGGAAAAAAAAAAAAACAAGAATGGCAGAGTTTTTAGGAGAGGTTGATTCATATCCTGGGCTCTCCCTAAGTCACAGGAGCTAGGCAGTTGCTCTTTGGACCTCCATGATAGATGAAGTCCAGGTGCCCAGGGCCTGAAGAGGGATGAGGTATGTTTGCTGGTCCAGCTCTCTCGGCCTTCTGTGGCCCCCTCCCACCCGCTTCGGTTATTAGTGCCCATGCTTGTGTTTGATGTGATAGGCTTACAGGAGTTTTTTTCTGGTGGTGTTTTCTTTCTTTCTTTTAGTTTTATTGAATCACCGTGAGATAGTTACAAGCTTTTATATTTGGGTTACAACCACACAATGATCAAATACCCATCCCTCCACTAGTGCACATTCCCCACCACCAATATCCCCCATTATCTCTCTCTACTTTGGGGCATTATGGTTTGCAATACAGACACCAAGAGGTCATCATATTTGGTCCTTTATCTACTTTCTGCACACATCTCCCATCCCGACTGATTTCTCCAGCCATCATTTTCTTAGTGATCCCTTCTCTATTACAGCTGCCTTCTCCCCTTTGCTCAGGAGGCAGGCTTCCAGCTATGGAGCAATCTATCTGTCCTGCGTATCTACTATCCTTAAGTGTCAGCCTCATGTTATGTTGTTTTATACTCCACAAATGAGTGCAGCCCTTCTACGTCTGTCCCTCTCTTTCTGACTCATTTCACTTAGCAGGATACTTTCCATGTCTATCCATTTGTAAGCAAAGTTCATGACTTCATTCCTCCAGACACCTGCATAATATTCCATTGTATAGATGTACTAAGGGCTGGAGCGATAGCACAGCGGGTAGGGCATTTGCCTTGCATGCAGCCAACATGGCCAGTTGAGTTCGATTCCTCCGCCTCTCTCAGAGAGCCTGGCAAGCTACCGAGAGTATCTCACCCGCACGGCTAAGCCTGGCCAGCTACCCGTGATGTATTTGATATGCCAAACACAGTAACGATAAGTCTCTTGATGGAGATGTTACTGGGCCCGCTCGAGCAAATCGATGAACAACGGGAGGACAGTGCTTCAGATGTACCAAAGTTTCTTTAACCAGTCATCTGTTCTAGGGCACTTGGGTTGTTTCTAGATTTTGGCTATTGTGAACAGTGCTGCAATGAACATGTAGGTACAGATGTCATTTCTACTGTGCTTTTTTGCATCCTCAGTATATATTCTGAGAAGTGGTATTGAGGAGTCATATGGAAGCTCAATTTCTAGTTTTTGAAGGACTATCCACATTGTTTTCCAGAAAGACTGGACTAGTGGACATTCCCAGGTGGTGTTTTCTTGAGTTCATTAATTCCAAGATGAATTCAGGCTACTGCAGCCCGCTTCTGTGAGGTGTGTGAGGATCCTTTGTGTGCAGTGACAAGCCTCATTCTCATTTCCTCAACCCTGGGACATGGTGCCTCTGCCAACTCAGTCACTGATTTATTTCACAATGAGTGTTTCTCTCTGGATATATTTTTGTGAATACATTGAAAAAAAAGAATGAAGTTCAGGTAGTATATTCATGAGCTATATTAAATTACACTAGACCATGCCAGGATTGTATTCGCTAGAAATATAAATATAAATATAAAGAGTGCCTGTTTCTGTCATTTGAGAGTATAAAGAAAATTTGGCCTCATGTTGGAAAGTGCTTGTTGTTATTTTGTAGAGTAGGTGCTTAAATGGCAGCTCCCCGTCACGTGGAAATTAATATCACCTCAATTAACTCATATTAAATAACAAGGAGTCGTCTTAGTTCTATTGACTGATTATTTAAGGAGATCCTCCTATTTCAATCCTGACCTCTGTTGCTCCTGTTTGAGAGTCACATGAAGTTAGTTCTTAGCACATTTTTGAAAGCTTTGCAAGGAAGGGAAGGGTGGCAGGAATGTAGTTCATTCATACAGCAAAGTTTTTTGAGGATCTGCTGATTCCAGGGACTACTCTAGAATATGAGACACAGAAAGGGCAGAAAGTTCTTTTTCTCAAGTAGAAATGCTCTTTCTCCTATTCCCAGGCGAAGTGGGGCAGATGAATATTTAAATAATTCACAATTTAGTTCAGCCTTTATGACTTGTGTTTTATTTTCTACCCCTCCACCCCCCCTCCCCCCCAGACACACATACACATACACATGCACAGCTCTTCTCTAAGAGAGTGCAGTAATGGGCTGTGGTGATAGTGCAGCAGATAGGGCTTTTGCCTTGCACACAGCTGGCCCATGTTCAATCTCTGGCATCCCATATGGTCCCCCTGAGCACTGCCAGGAGTAATTCCTGAGTGCAGAGCCAGGAGTAACCCGAGCCCAACCCATAAGTAAAAAAAAAAAGATAGTGCAATAATTAGCAACTACTTAATATGTATCATAGCATCATGGATTGTCCAAAAAATTTCTTTGTTGTTAAACCCTTGGGATAAAAAGAATTAATTTATGGCTACAAGAAACCAGCACTCAGCTCTGTAATACATGAGGTGATCGAACAAGAAAATGGAAACTTTTCATATGTGTGACCTTTTCTGGTCTTAAGTTGGAAGGTTTCGCCAGTATATTTGGCATTAAGAGTTCTCACACATTTTTAAGATTTTGCTTACATGATAACTTGTGGATTTGTGTTTGAAATACAGATGTGTTATTCACTTAACATCTAAGATATTCACTGAATTTAGTAAACATATATATGTGTGTGTGTGTGTGTGTGTGTGTGTGTGTGTGTGTATATATATTTCTTGCTGTCCTTACAGAATACTTAGACAGCAGATGTAAAAGTATGTTGCAGTAAGGCCTGGCTTGGACTAAGCATGCTGATCAATTTAGGTTGAATTTTATTATAGAATGATAGCATGTTACCACACAAGTGCCCATTCCTTTTTTTTTCCCTTTCTATTGACCTTGCTTAAGGAGTGAAAAAAACTTCACTTTACCCTGATATTAATCATTTATTATTTACCCTGATATTAATCATTTTTTTTCTCTATTATGTTTACAGACTCACTGAGATTCCTTTCTTATCCTAAACAACATTCATTTCCCTTGCAGAACCTATTACACTATACTTTCCATTCTAGCCCTTAAACATTGAACATTATTTCTTCAGCACATTCCATGTTTTCTAGTTATTTTTATATAGCATATATTTGCCATTTTATTTGTTAGGTCAATAATTGTCATCATTTAAAATATGGGATCTGAAGACCTTGTGTTTTATAGATTTAAGGATTGTGAAGATCAAGCTTGTATTGATATTGTGAAGATAAATCCTGTATTTTATGGAAGATTGTAGGACCAAAGAGGCAAAATAAAAATAACTTTCCCAAAGCTAAGAATGTTCCTAACAGCTTACTCTAACAGCCACTGTACAGAAGCAAAAAGAAGAATATCATTCTTCAGTAGTCTGCTGTGTGTGAAGTATTATTCTTCTAAAAAGTGATGCATCCAACTTTGATTAGTAATCTGTACTCTGACCCCACTTTGAAGTATAATATTCTTTAACGTAATGTTCTTCCACAGTTTTCACATCTGTTGATGTTTTAAACTCTTATGCTTCTCCAAAAGAGAGATCCTCTGATTGTTCCACATGTCTCCCTCCCCAGAATAGTGGTTGACATTGGATGAATGATGGTTGGCAAAGGTTTTAGCTTTTGAGCTACATTTATGTTCTATCCTGAGCTTGATGGTCTGTGACTTTTGTAGTGGTATAGAAATGACTTTGCTCTGGACTAAGCCCAATTGCACAATTGACCACATTTGTAGCTGGAGTCCTCCTAAGAGTACACTGTTCTGTCACAACTGCCAGATTGCTTTCCTGCTGACCCCCTCCCAATTGCTTCCTTTCCATTACCAGAATCTGAGGAACCTGTTCTTGGCTCAAACCAGGTATCAGCAGTGTTTGCTACACAGCTCCTTTCTTAGAGTTAGGAATGATTAATCTGGCCTGAGCACTGTAGTCTGAGTCTGTGGCAAGAGGTTCCCAGGAGAGCTGCCCTACAAGTCTCAATGTTATCTCTTCTTGTGTCCATATAAAAAGGACATTGCTCTGAATAAACGATGCAAAGGACTTAGGGAGAAGAGAAAAACAATATTTACAAGTCAACAGAGCACAGACGAAGAAGTTACAGATAAACACAGAGGAATGGGAGCACTGTGATGCGAGCAACCTAATAAACCTAAACTACCGGGCTGGAGCGATAGCACAGCGGGTAGGGCGTTCGCCTTACACGCGGCCAACATGGCCGACCCGAGTTCGATTCCTCCGCCCCTCTCGGAGAGCCCGGCAAGCTACCGAGAGTATTCGATATGCCAGACACAGTAACAACAAAGTCTCCAATGGAGACGTTACTGGGCCCGCTCGAGCAAATCGACGATCAACGGGAGGGCCTTTACCTTTTTACCGGAGGCTATGCAGGAAGGACAGAACAGTGTTATCCTACAGGTTGACTTAGAAATACCCTGATGCCACCTGCCATCCCTGTTATGGCATAGAAGTTACACTTTTCCACTCCTAGAAATCAGAGTTTCGAACCCATCGAGACTTGCCCTGGCTTCTCTCTTCTGAGAGAGAAGCTTGGTGTAGAGCTTCCTGTCAGCCAAGGCTCACAGAGAGGCCACCTGGCCTTGCCCTTTACTAATTCGATGACAATTAATAGTGAAACGCCAACCATCTCTGCTAGCTCTACCTTGCCAGCTGTCTTGACCACAGTGGGTCAGTGGGCTGGCTGTGTTTCAACAGTAGGGTTTAAAGCAGTATTTTGAGGATTAATGAATTACTTTTTGGGTGTGAAAATCCCTTTTCTTTATTATAACTGTCATCTGACATGGAACCCTAGACTTAGGGAAGTGAGATAATGGTGTCTTTTCACTGACACGATTTTGTGTCCCTCTTAGACCTCCTGTGGCAGCTGGTGATGTTTCTCTTGATGGTATCAGGCTGAGTGCCTCATAAATAATGAGCCTTTGCCAAAAGTTAATACTGCTTTTTTTTTTTTTTTAGAACTGAAGCAGAGTTCCTTGGCTAATGTACTGTAGCATCCTGTTCATTTCTCATTTGTGTATCAACATTATAAATGTTGTTATAAATACAACCCATATTTATGTTTTTCTGTACTTTTTTTTAATCTAATGGATGCTGTTACGAAGAGTCTTCTGAAATAAGATATTTAAAATCACTTTGGAAAAGCAGGGATTTTTTTTTTAAGTCTTGAATAATTTGGGGAACTGGTTTTCTCTGTTGTATGTATTTATCCCATTTCCTTCCATCCTGTTTTCATCAGCAATTAAAAGCCAAACAGTGTTTTGACTGGTTAGCAAAACTCTTAGATATGTGAACATAAGAGCTGTTGTGCTTAAGTATGGGATACCGTGATTCTTTTTAAAAAATTGACAGAAAATTGCATTTTGAACTTGTTAATTTCTATGTGGAATTTTAAAGCATGGCGGCTATCAGGTTGGGAGTGCCAGAGTAGCTTCTGAAGGCAATCTTTGGCAGTAAATCCTTTGAAACATGGAGCAGTTGTCAAGGGCACCTGGTTCCCTCTGATTGATGCTCCCTCTTTACTCCCTCAGAGAAATTGCTTTTTCCTCTATGTTCCGACTGCATATTTAAGTCCACTAGTTAAAGCAGTTGTGTCATCTGAAAGTTGTGCATATTCACTCTGACCATTATACTCTAGCATTTTGTGACGGGATTCCCTCCCCCCACCCCCGCATCAGTTATCATTCATGATTTCCTACTACAGGGTGCTTGCACATAGTAGGTCCTTAGTGCTAGTGTTAGTTAAAGGAAATAGAATTAATACTTTCGTTGGTCTTTTGTATAGCAAAACCTCCCAACTTTTTCATCGCCTTCTGGAATACTGTCCATTGTATATATTATGTGTAGTTGTGATATAAAAAATGGATCTCGGTTTGGGGAGGCAGGCCCATAAGTACATGATCAATAATTGAACGGGATCACAATATACAATGTTTCCTGGACCATTTTATTTTCTTTGGGATGCGTGTGTTTCGCTGTCTCCTATGTTTAAGTCTATATGTTAATTTTCTTTTTCTTCAACTTTATTTCTTTTTTCGTTTAAAGTTGTTGTTCTCTTCTACTTTTAGTCATTCAATATGCTTTCTGGTGTTCCCCCCACCCCGCCCTTCTTTTCTCCTTCTTCATCTTGTTTATGTGGTACGGAATTGGCAGCATATTGTCAGGGCAGAAATAGTGAAGTACCTGGAAGAGTATCACCACCGTTCCACATTCTACAAGAGTTCGCTCTGTTCCATGCAGTAGTGCAGGTATTAACGGACGCATTGTTACTGGGGGTGGAGGGAGGAGGTGGAGAACCAGCCAGCACCACCTTGTTTGTTATTCCTTGTGAAAAATGAAGTCTAAATGGTTATTGTATTTTTTATTGGGGATTAATATCAGTTAGCTCAAGTTCAATCTGTCTTTTGCCAGGAGACTTTGGAATTGAACAAAGAATGGGGGATTAACGAAAATAATGTTCCAATTCCTTTCAGCCGTGTTTGTCTCTCTGGTTGTGTGGATGACATGAGCAATGAAATGGAGCATTGAGGCAGTTATTTCATTATTTAATGCTTCCTATTTTCCTGAAATAGGTCATTGAGAGAGTATTTTTAAAATTTGCCTTGAATTATCCTTCTTTGTCTCCTTGTGTATGCAGACTTTATAACACAATTGAAAAGGAGTGAAGGATTTGTTTTAATTTAAATAATCACTTAGAGATGAATATTGGGCACTTGCTAAGTTTATCATTTAAGATATTCCTTTATTCCTTTAGAGGAGGAGTTAAAAACATCATTTAGCTTATATTTAAAAGCATGGATACTTTTCTATAATAATAATTTCTCATCCTGTGTTTTTTGGTTGCTTTTTGTTTGTTTGTTTTTTGTTTGCTTTTGCAAACAACCCTAGCGATGCACAGGGGATACTCCTGGCTCTGCACTTAGAAATTACTCCTGGCGGTGCTCTTGGGATGCTGGGAATTGAACCCGGGTCGGCCGCATGCAAAGCAAATGCCCTACCCACTGTGCTTCAGGCCCTCAGCCTGTGTTTTTTTAATCACTATTCATAGCCCAACAGTGAGGTGGTTGCAAGTAAACTGAGGTTTGAGATGGAAAAATCTTAAATATTGGTAAGGTTTTCAAAGTTGCTCATTTGTTCCTACAGGGATGGAACTGGAGGGTTCCATGCTGCGCAGAGCGGCCAGGAGAGGAACAGAATGATCTCTCTTAGGGGTGGGGTTTAGAGAAGCTCATCAAGGGAATAACAAATGGCCAAAGGCAGCAGAACCTCAGAACTGATCCCAGAACTGAGTTGATGATGTCAGGCACTGGGGGGCGGGTCACTCTGGTGGAGTGTCTATATGGGATTGGGACATTGTATGCATGGAACCCTGTCATGGTGACTTAAATGTTTAAACAAACTGTAGAACGATGGATTGCCCCAGACTTCTCATCTTTATGTGGTCCTCCTTTCATAGTCATACCTTGGTTCCTACTAATTCAGAAATTATTGTCTACATTCCAAAGTTATGGCTAGACATAATCACTTCTAGATGTACTTCTAAAGAATGACTTCTCTCTCTCTCTCTTTTTTTTTTTTTAAAAAAACAACTTTAAACTCTTGAGTTCTTGCTGCATTAGGTGGTTCTGGTTGGTTCTTTCCCTGTCAGTGCCTGCTTCATTTATGGTATCTCTCATCAGGAGTTCAGCAAAGTTCAGACAATGAAAATATACTTTAAGGAGCCCTCTCTGCATCTTCTGACATCCTGACAATGACTCTGTTTTCTTTTATGACAGAGGGTGGTGAAGGCAGATATTGTAAACTACCACCAGGAACCCACATCAAGGAATGTTAATCCTCCACGCAGCTCGATGTGTGCAGTTCAGTGAGTGAATTTTTCTCTGGGATTTTGGATTCTGGGATCCAGTCAGTGGCTGCCTCAGCAGCAGCCTTAACCCTTTCCTGCCCAGCCGCTTCCCCCCAGCCTCAGCTGCGCCTCAGACTGGAAAACCTCCACCGGGACCACACACTGAATTCAAAGTGGAAAGCCCATTCCCTCGAATGAAGATGCCTCACTGCAAAAGAATAATGTTCTTGTTGTTGTTCTTCCTTCATGTCCTCACTTCTCACTTCTCCGTTCCCTGATGTCAACCCATTTAGGGGAATGTAAGGAGCTCACCACGTCCTCATCATCAGCCGGATTGTGCCACGGCACAGTTTGATTCTCTTGTCTGAACTCATACACGGCAGAGTGCAAACATTTAAACCAGTAATATATTTTATCTACAGATACTTAAGGCATTCTTTTCCTACATATTGTGATTTAAAGTATATAAAGCTGTATCTAATGGAAAAGGCTTGAAATAAAGCTGTAATAGAAATATTTTTTTCATTTAGAAAAATGGGCCTACATTGTAGCTCACACAGTAGTATTTGATACTGTATTTTTATTACTGTGTCCGATCATTGTATATCAGTAAGACTCAGGTTGGATGGTTTTATGAATCTGGATAAATTTATTTGTTCAACTGACTCTCTAGGGGCCTTTCTCCTGCAGACTGTAGCCGAGTACCCCAGAGTGAGTCAGGACTGTTGGCCAATCATTGTGGATCAGGTCCGACCATACCTGATGCTCAGATGTTTCTCTCCTTCAAATAAATTTATTTAAATTACTCTTCGAGTGGATTTTCTTCCAGCCGTCTTCCTTTTAGTTGCAGAAAAGCAAAGCAAAATGACCACCACCAGGACCAACAAAAAACCCAAGCTTGTATCCACAGTCCATTTGGACACCAAATCCGGGATGGTGAGAAGTTTAGTTTGAGATCACTCATTTCAGAGGCATTCGGTACTTGGAGTCGAGACCCCCAGGCCAGGGTGCCCAGGGCCCGTCCTCCTCAGTGCCTGCAGTTCCTTCTGCACTGCCCAGCTCTGCAGGAAGGAGCGTGGCCTGTGCTCCGATAGCTTGACCTAGAATTCCCCCTTTCCAGATCTCGGCTTCTCACATGAGGGTTTGTGTGTTCTCCTAGAGCACCGAGGCCTGGGGTCTGGGCTGCCGAGCGTGCCACACTTGCTCCTGGACCCAGGAACGAATGTCATCCCAGACAGCCCCCCCCCCACCCCCCTGCACGGCAAGCGCCCCCTAGGATACCTCTCAGCAGGCTGCGCTTCCTGTCCTGAATTGCCGTTGTCATGTCCCTGTGTTCCTATTTCAGGAACCAGCAGCTGATTGGAAAGCAGACCCAGATCTGGTCTCTCCTGTCCCTAACCTCACCACAGGCAAGTCAGAAAGTGCCTGTATTTGTCCCTGATTGCTGAACTCGGCTGGGAGACACAGTGAGCTCTTTGAAGCAGAGGCAGAGGTTACTTCTGTCCCCAAGAGTGAGTGGCGATCGTGGATGGCCACAGTGCTTGGCTATGCTTGCTGGTGTATGTGGAGGTTTGGCCACCTAGTTTGGCTGCTGTGAGGGGTTTAGAGGAACTCATTTCACGTCTCTGTGTGGCTGCAGGCCCTGAGGGTTGCAGAGCTAGTGCAGGAAGTAGCGTAGCATTAGACTCAAAGCTAGATGCAGGAGGAAATTTCTAGGAAATCTTTTAAAGAAGAACTTGAAGTGTAACAGTTTTGAATTGTGACTTTACTCATTGGGTTTAATCTCTATATTTTAACTACCCAACCTATAACTTTATAGTGGCAATGTTAAACGTTTTATATTATGAAGCTTTAAAAGATCTTTTTTTTTAATGGAGTCACCGTGAGATACACAGTCACAAAGCTTTCCTGGTTGGATTTCAGTCACACAATGTTCCAACACCCGTCCCTCTGCAGCAGGATCCCCAGTTTCCCTCCCATCACCCCCAACCTCTACTGCCCGCTTGTCTCTATGGCAGGTGCTTCCCTCTATTTTTCCTCTAGTTCAGGAGCCTTTTCCATCCTCTGTGGTGGAAGCCCTTCAGGGCAGTTCACGTCTTCAGCATACACAGGCTGGTTTGCTAGGTGGAATAAATTCTCCCCAAATTCCTTCAGAGAAGATGAGGTTCAGCAAACAAGACCTAAAGATTATCACTGACCAGCGGGGAGGGATGTTTACTGTTGTCACTGCTGGCGATTGGCTGGCACAGAGTACACCACCCACTGATGTGTGTGACTAGGGCACTCGCTTTGCATGCAGCCAATCCGGGTTCGAGCCCCTGCACCACACATGGTTCCCCACAGCCCACCAGGAGTGATTCCTGAATCTAGAGCCAGGTGTAGACCCTGAGCACTGCTGGGTGTGCCCCCCAATCTCCCTGGCCCCCCATGAACATTCCCCTGCCCCCATAAAAGCTTTTTTCAATCATCATTACAGTGCAGAAATAAGCGATTTAGCACATGCACGTGTACACGTACACACACACACACGTGATTAGAAAAAGAAAGTGCTGCAAACTCTGAAGGGAACAGAGCTGTTAGAAGACCCACAGTCATGCGAATCACTAGTGCTGAAGCAAGCCGTAGTGCTGAGTAGGACTGAGCAAGGGCCAGGGCAGAGAATGGCCTTGATCCGGGCACTGGACAGATGGCTTCATTTTCACCCCAACTTCTAGGAGTTATACACAGGAGTTATACACAGTTATACACAGGACCTCACGTTACACACAGGACACCCAAATGGATTGTGATCACACCAAGTCTCTCCCAGGACAAGCATGGAGCTAGGGTGACATAAATGACTTCTGGGTTGGGCTGGAGCCGAGCTGGAGCTATTCTCCCTCTTAGGGCTCACATCAGCCCCTGGTTTGGGGGATTCCTCCAGAAAGTGATGGTGGCTGGTACTGGTTCATCTGCTCCACCCCATCCTGGAGTGTGGTTGGGCACTGTGTTGGTCTATGATCTCACTCATTCCATGGGGACAGAAATGACCTCTGCTTTGGCTCTTAGGGGTCACTGATGAACCCTGGACAAAGCTTGACAATCACTGACAAACTGGTGCTTTCTGACTAGCGATAGGGCACGTGGCTCAATCAGATTCCTGGATTCCGAATGATGATTTCCCTCTAAGCCCTGGGTTTTATTTTTGAAACAGAAGCATGGGATTTATGCTGATTTGACTTTGCCCATTACCTCTCCTGTCTACAGTTTCTAATTTAAAAAAATTACACGTCTTTCCATCTAGTTTCAGGCAGGCGCTTTGTCTCCTGAAGACGCATGCTATAAAGTTTCAAACACATTGTGGTCACGTCTGCGACGTGGGGAACTTTGGAAACACACAAAAGTGTTCAGGCAGAACTGCTCATTGGGTGCTCTCTCTTGGGCACCCTCTATTATGTGTGGCAAACCACCGGGGAGTGGTTTTTGGAGGGGCCCAGAGAGCGTCCTGTGACCGCTTTATTATTCTGGGAGGAGGTAAGCCAGGCTCCTTTCTAGTCGATCTCTGGAGTGAGGTGATGGAGCATCTGCATTTGGGCAGTGGTTTTCCTAGCAGATCGGCTTTCTGGCCTGACCCATGCCAGCGCCCGCTGGAAGCTTGGACATCCGAAAGGGCAGTGGATGTAAAGGAAATGGAAATGCAGAGCAGGGTCATGGCCTCGCCTCGGTTCCTGCTGGTGCCCTCCTTCCTCTTTCAGCTTCTTTCAGCTGGAGGACTGGAGCCTCACGGAACCTCTCAGGAAATTCGTCCTTCTGGTTGCAGTGGAGCCTTTTCATCCTACTTGTCCTTTGGCTCGAGAGGAGCGAAGAAGCCCCCAGAGCTGGGATAACTGGAGGAAACATTGGCTGAAGCTTCTGTGAGAGGAGAGGAGAGGGACAGGGAAGGGAAGGGAATCGAGATGGAATGGAAGAGAGCTCGTCTCCCTGGTACTCCCACATGCTTCTTTGGCCCTGTGCAGGCTGGGCAGGGTCGTTCTGACTGCGCAGGGCAGCATAGAGATGGGAGAGACCCTGCCAACCCCAACAGCCAGGCCTCCAGCTGGGTAAGAGGTTGAGCCCCGTTTCCTTTATCATTTAGGGGCACGTAACTGCTTCTGCAGCAACAGTCACCTGTGGGCCCTCTGCTTGGCGTTATTGATGAACGGCATCTTCAGTAGGTCCTCAAGATCCTGGAGTGGAGCTAGAGAGTGTGGTGAGGTAAAGAGAGAGTGTGGTGGGCTGGAGAGAGCACGCAGTAGGCATGCTTCACATGATGAGGGCCTGAATGTTAATCTCCAGAGCACCACCGCAAGTGAGCCCTGAGCGCTGAGCCAGGAGTAGCCTCTGAGCACTGTTTGATGTTGCCCCCAAAACAAATTATTTTAAAAGGTCTTGGTTGGAAATGATCACTTGTTTCATTTTTATTGAGTCACCGTGAGATAGTTACAAAGCTTTCATGATTGAGTTTTAGTCATACTATGATTGAAAACCCATCTCTCCACCAGTGCACATTTTCTACCACCAATGTCTCCAGTATCCGCCCCCCATCCAGACCCTCCTCCTGCCTCTATGGCAGACAATTTCCCCCATACTCTCCCTCTACTTTTGGGCATTATGGTTTGCAATATAGATACTGAGAGGATATCACATTTTGTCCTTTGAAGTGATCACTTAGGATGGGAACAGTACTGAAAATAGGTAAAGGGATATACCAGATAACTTTTCAGTATCTGTATTACAAACTATAATGCCCAAGAGGGGGAAGAGAGAGAGCGAAGAGAGGAGAAAGGAGAGAAGAGAAGAGAAAAGAAGAGAAGAGAAGAGAAGAGAAGAGAAGAGAAGAGAAGAGAAGAGAGAAGAGAAGAGAAGAGAAGAGAAGAGAAGAGAAGAGAAGAGAAGAGAAGAGAAGAGAAGAGAAGAGAAGAGAAGAGAAGAGAAGAGAAGAGAAGAAGAGGTGTCTGTCATGAAGGCAGGCTGGGATGGGGATTGTTAGTGGGAGGTTGGGGGGGGGCACTGGGGACATTGGTTTTGGGAAATTACACTGGTGGAGGATGGGTGTTGTTGGAACATTGTCACTGTCCTCCCGTTGTTCATCGATTTGCTTGAGCGGGCCCAGTAACATCTCCATTTTGAGACTTGTTGTTACTGTGTTTGGCATATTGAATATGTCACAGGTAGCTTGCCAGGCTTTGCTGTGCTGGAGAGATAGCTTGCCGGGCTCTCAAAGAGGGGCGGAGGAATTGAACCTGGCTCAGCTGGGCTGGCTGTGCGTAAGGCAAATGCCCTACCGCTGTGCTATCGCTCCAGCCCCGTTGAAACATTATATAACTGAAACCCAATCTTTTTTTTTCCATTTTGTGTTACACCCAGCGATGTTCAGGGGTTACTTCTGGTTCTACACTCAGGAATCACTCCTGGCGTTGCTTGGGGGACCATATGGGATGCTGGGAATTGAACCTGAATTATCTGAAAACCCAGATAATAGACTGGAGGAAGCAGACAGAACCTTGGTACCCTCTGGAAATGTGTTCCTTTCTCTGGCTATCACATGTCCCTCTTGGCGAAAAGTGTTCCCTGGGGCCAGAGAGGTAGTACAGTGGGTAGGGCGTTTGCCTTGCATGTGGATGACTGGGTTCCATCCCCCAGCATCCCCAAGCATCACCAGGAGTGATTCCTGGTTGCAGAGACAGGAGCAATCCCTGAGCATTGCTGGCTGTGGCCCGCAAACCAAAAAAAAAAAATGGAGGTTTTGTAAGAACACTGGCCTGGACCCTGGGGAAGAAATGTCCC